CCGTTTCGCGTAGTTTCTTTTGATTTGATTTGCTAAATTATGAATGAACAATTCAATATATGGAGCTAATTATTGGTATAATGTAATATTTCTTAACCTTTATACTTAAACAAAAATAATCGAATAATATGTTATTCTAATTAATAAAAAGTTAAAGATAATACGAAAGCTATTGATCAATAATAATATAATCGCAATCCAACAAAACATTTTCACGAAGCTGGAGGGCGAAAATCGATCCCTAGTGTAGTAGTAAGGAAAGTTTTATAAACAATAGTAAGACAACAACATTTTTACTACGCCTACCAACCTATAAACACTGTCTTACTTTCAATATAATAGTAAACTACATAATATTATTAAACTCGACGGTTAACAATTAAAAGAAAAACGCAACGGCAAATCTTAAAACATTTGTTTTACTCTTACTAACATTCATGCCAATTTTCGGCCTTGTGCCACTATAATTATATATTGACTGTGCTATAAGGCATTATTGTGTGCACTCGGTACCAAGAATTGCCGTCCACACTTGCGTACCACAATAATGCGGGTACAAAATATCCAGAAACCCAACAAAGACGATAGTTTTGTCAATAAAGCCACGTGTCTGGTGTAATAATGAGTATTCAAGCCGCTCAATACGAGGAATGCTACATGTATAACATAACTTGGTTGAAGCCGCAGCCAAATCGGTTTTAACCAAGTTCTTATGTCGATCTTTTACTATTCTTCTTCTCTGTTTTTTAAATATCTATCAAATTTACTTAATATATCGAATGTCTCTTATGATACTAGGAATAGTTTTTTTTTTTTTTGATTATAAACACATCTATTATCTTCATTGAAAATATAATTTGAAGCACATTTATTATCTAATTCTTCTAGAATCCTGCTATTTTAATTTTATTAAATGTACACTATTGATGCAAATATTAATATAGTCGTATCCTTATTCATAATTCACTGATAGGCTGTCTAGAAGATTAAATTCCGTTTCTCCAGTGCGTAAGGTAACTGGTATTGGTAAACGTCTTCTTCAAGAGACGGTGGTGATCACACCTACGTTCTGGTAGAAACATTGTATATTTTACCCTATCATTTATCATTGTAGTCAAAGATTGTTTGAAATATACAATTCAATTTGTCTAATCTTCGATTCACACTAACCTCGATATCTGATATCATTGTTTTGTCAATTATCAGATCATGTGGCGTAATAACGTCCGGTATGTAATACAATACAATATGTCGATGCACGGACACGAATTCCGAGCGAGGATTATGGGGTTTAAAATTTTACGTGATTTATCAATCTTTTATCGCTCGAGGGTTGATTGAAATTCTTTTGTGCGCTCGCGCTGTAAATTCCTTGGTATTGGCCACAATCGTTGAGCTATACAGCTTTTTGTCTTCTATATGGGTGATTATATTGAATTCTCATTTAACATCTTCACTAGTGGGTCACTTCTCTTTATTGCTGGCCGAAACTGGACTGTTAACACTGAACCCGTGAGTCAAGCAGAAAATCACAATTCTGTCCCCAATCACTTTAATTTATTTGTTAGATATTTTTTATTAAATTTATCTTTTATTAAATCGTATAATATCAATGACAGACGTTAATTTTCATCATTATTTGTAGAAAGACGTAATATTGTACCTATATTATTTCCATTAGATTTTCATATTAAATGTATCATATCAAATCTTTAAAAAAAATTATATCCTCCTTACGCTACTTATAGACATTTAATTTTTTTTTTACACCGGCTTAAATCGTGAAATATATTATTTAGTAATATTTCAGTTTGCGAACTCATGTTTTAAATGCTTTTCACAGCAAATCATATTAGAATAAAAAAATAATAATTTGTTTGAATTTACTATTATTGACTTTCTGTTATTACCTTGACCTTTTGTGTAAAGAACTCAGTCAATTTCATTTTCCACGAACGTAAAGCGAAAACGGAGCTTTTCATTTTTCAATAAATCGCGAAAGTTTCAATGGAAAATTTTTGCTTTTCCATTAATTGTTTTTGCTGAACTATTAGTGCACTCGATAAACCTTAAGTATCTAGAGCTTTTCAGTTAACTTTCTATTGAAGCACTCAACAGCAAAACAGGTCATTTTATTATATACAGCGACGGGTGCAATGCTGATACTAAATACACTATAGACAAACTGCGAACGTTGTATATAAAAACCTTCCTTGAATCACTCTATTTATAAAAAGAAACTGCATCAAAAACTTTTGCGTAGTTTTAAAGATTTAAGCGTACATATCGACAGAAAAGCGACATTGTTTTATACTATGTAGTGATATAATTTTGTAATTACAATCCTCAAATGTTATTTTAAGACAACACACAATAACTAATATGTAACATAAAAAGATACCTACTTATCAAATATTTTCAAAGAACAAATGATATCTCAGAAAGTCGTAAGGAATAAGAGATTGATTCATCTTCGTAACACGAGTTCGGAAAACATCCGATCATTTATCACATGAATCGCAAAATGTATCCAGATAATAATATTGACTAATACTAGGTTTAAATAAAACAGTTTAACGGTTTAAAACGCGATATATTAGTTAAACTTATTTGAATGTGATTTTTAACTTCGGCCTTTAAATGTGTACTACTCTCGTAAACCTAAGACAGTATTTAATACTAACTTGATAATAGTAAACCCCGCTCCCCCTGCAAGGATTGAAGCGGACATCTTTCTATGTAAGCTTTCCTGAGCAATAGTATTTACAGTTAAATGTATGTTATCTACATAATAACAGTGTACAGGTGGCGCCATCTAACTTAAATGATAAATATTGTAATTGCAATTTTTCATTAAATGGTTGTGTGTTCTCAAGTTGCTGTCTCCGTTTTTTATTAATTTTCAAATGCTTTAGTTAGACCGCCTGTGTCATTTTTCTGTGCCTTTCCTGACCAAAATTGTATGTGATCACCGGATCTGAACTACCTCTATCAATTGTCCAATACTGCACAGCATTTAATGAAATAACCGAATTGAAATAAAACACATTTAACAGTTTAAAACACGAAATATATTAGTTAACTTATATACAATTTGATTTAACTACTGCCGACTCTTAGGATGCTTAGCAACAGCCATAATTACGAATTAATTAATATATTTGGCGTTTTAAACCGTTATTTTTATTTAAATGTGTTGCTCGCGTAAACTACTGACGACACCTAAAGAGCCAGATGCCGATAAATCACTGTCGATCGACGTTTCCGATCACGAATCGGTATTTGTTATCTGCCAGTGTCGTGGGAACCAGTTGTTGATACAGTGATAAGCGGGACAGGCTGATAAGATTGATACATGTAATTGGGAATAACGATTTTTTTACTGACTCGCTATCGGAGTCGTGTTCTCTTCAACAAAATGGATGAGAAATTGCCTGATAAACGAACAGCCGAACTTGCCAGCGATGTTGGTCAACTGTATTGTCTGATTTATAGATTCTTTACTATTGTCTGAAACACGTCAGAGAAATCTATTAATATTATTATTTATAAGTGCCAGAAGTCCTGTGTTCGAATCCTGGGAAAATATAACAAATATTTTCCGTCGGCATTACGTGAAAGCCTTTAAACATAAACATTTTGAAGCGGTTTAAAATTCGAAATACATTAGTTAGCTACTTACTTTTTATACGTTAACTATGGTCAAAAGTTTCGGATGCTTTGCAGCCACCGTGGTCTCGGTGAACCGTTAAGTGTTTTATTTAAATGTGTACTGCTCGCACTACTGACAATATCTTATAAACTTTTTGTTTATAAGACCTTCATTTGACTGATTTTTCTCCCCTTTGGGGAAACGTGTATCATACTCTACATACATCTAAAGCAGTGTTGTGTCATGTGTGTGACATTATACGGATTATTACGTCACACACAATACTGTCTACATTATTTATACAGATATCGATTTCGCGAAAAATACAAACGATTAGCAAATACATTTCGGTTGTGTCGAAGAATTGACGCAAACAAATACATAGAGTTTTTTTTATTAATATTTGGTGTTTTTTGAAACATGTTATTGCACATGATGGCACTATATAAATTAAAAAACAAAAATAAATTGAAGCAATTTTCGACTCCGTAGGAGTTGTTTATTTCAGGAATTTTTAAAAATGTATTTTCGATTTTAACTCTATGTTGTGTTTTTTTAATATCCTTTATTGTCGTTATGACGTAGGATTGTAGTGAAGTTACCACGTCTAATAGCATTAACAGCGTCTTAATATTTCTGTACGGTGTTATTATTTAGTTTGTCCTCACTTCCTCAGGCATGTATCGAATAGCCTAAAATGTCACTCCAAAGATGTAACTTGTAAATAAGCTATCTCAAAGTTATCAGACGATGGTGAGAACTTACCCAAAGTCCAATGTTGGGGCTTTAATTGTTTGAGTATAATCCATCTTTGGTGATGTCGATGTTAATCCTCACTGCGAGTTAATAACTTCAACTAATATACTTCGCGTTTTAAACCGTTTCATTTTATACGCGAAACGCACAGGCAATTTTTAGTGACAAAAATAATAAGTAGGTACTCACAGTAAGTTGGAGTGAAGTTTCACTGTTTATTAGATAACGTAATTGTATAGTTATACAATTACGTTATCTAATAATCAGTAATTAAGTCTTTTATCGGTAATTACGTCAAACTATTAACGTTCATGAGAGTCTCATTTCCCTTATAATATCCTTGCTTGACTTGATATTACCGTATAACGTATACATCCTCCATATTTCGTCTCCCCGTGACCACGGGCTTGAAAAGCAAACCCGACCCAAACGTTGGGTCGCATTAAAAAATAGGTTAACTAATATATTTCGTGTTTTAAACAGTTTATATTCTTTCTGAAACATGTTGTACTTTGCCAAAAAGCCATTTTTTAATACTTCTCTTTTTCTTCTTCAGGAGCGGCTTGGCGCGGCGTAGCGGGCGGGCCGCGCCATGGGTAACAAGTGCTGCAGCCGCCGTCACGACCCCGACAGACCTTTGGGTAAGTAACTACCAGATCAATGACGAGAGATATCGAACATTACGTACATAAGACTCCTAAATTAACGCGTTTACAATATTCCAGTAGTGCAACTAAAATTTCAAGAGAATAATATTTAAAATTTATTAATTTTTGAAAATGTAATACCTAAATAATGAATTGGGTATTATTTTTATCCAAAATGCAACAAAAATGCAAATAGGATAGATATAGCGTAGAACAGCATAGAATCGATGCTATATTCATATATCAATATATTTCATAGACACTTTGAACCCGTTTGCTTAAATACGATTTTATATGAAGCAATTTGTAGCCATTTTAGCTCTGTCAAGAATAACGTCTGGCAGGATTATTTAAAAGGTTATTTTCCCTGAAATGTTATTACTGCGGAAAGATTACAGTCCCCTCAGTGGCATAGGTTTTGAGGGATTTTAGGGTTTGTTTACTCTGCTTTGGCTGGCTGTAATCCTCTTTGTGGTCTTGTTTTGTAATGTCTGAAATGTCGTGATTAAGCACAGGAAAAATTGGTGAATATATTTTTGAACTCGGGAACCCAGAGCGTCTTTTAAAAAGTACTTGTTAATCTCGTCGACGTCTTTTTACTGTATCTAGTTTACGCGAGTAGCATGCATTTAATAAAACACCGTTATCAGTTTAAAACGCGTAATATATGAATTAACTTATTTTTTATTTAACTACTTACGGTACAACGTTTCGGATACTTGCAGCTGCCTTGTTTACGGCTAGTTATGTAACTTAGATATATTGCGTTTTAAACAGTTGAAAGTGTTTTATTTAAGCAAAGGCGCTTAAACATCCGGTTTTAAAAAAGGCAATTCTAAAATGTTTTGCAGGTATATAAGATTAGAGTTATTCTTACAAAAGCTCTAAAATTCCTCTAAATTAATTAAAGCAAGTTAAGCTTTTATTTGTAATTCCTGTAATATATATATTTTTTAATAAAACCCTTAGTAACATTCCCATAAACTTCCTTTGAAGAGATTATGAATTAATGTAATTCTTTTACTAGTAACGTTTTAGACCTTTTGACGAGACAGCGTAGGCTGAAACGCAAAATTTCCTTCTTTATTTCGTTGAAAAGTCACTGTATTTAAATAAACAATTTTAGCGGTTTAAAACGCGATAATTAGTTTAACTACGGCCCGAAAAATGCTTTCCAGCATCCGTGGCCACGGGGAGACGGTCATCGCATTTTAAACAGTAAAAGTGTGTTTTAATGTACTACTCGCGTAAACTTTAGACAGTATTTAAGTCACTGTTTGTAATCTTTGCGTGATTATTAACTTCAGTGTGGATTATTCAATCAAACGAGTTAAACACCGCGAACCAACGTCCCAACGGAAGAAAGAACAATGCCCAAGATATTTTCACACGATATTTCAGTTCGCTCACTTAGCTTCATTTTACGTATATTCGCTATTCATTTATGTCACATTCAAACTGTTTGAGGTCAGATGTATTAGGGTTGTCAATTACGTATTTACCTATACCTATATGTGATTTATTATTAACACTATTACACAATAGATAAAAAAATAGTCACAAACTTCTTACCTTTGAGGGGAGTGTAACCACAAGCCACACTGAAAACGCAAGCCAAGTGTTTTCTATCTTTTCACAAGCACACAATGTGCATCAATCATGTGCATGATTGGAATTAATGTTTTGAGGTCGAGCATGGAATAAAAACAATATAAAACAAACAAGACTTATATACTGTCTATAGTTTACGCGAGTAGTACACATTTAAATAAAACACTTTAACGGTTTAAAACGCGATGTATTAGTTAAACTTATTTCAATATATTTTTAACTACGTCCCGATGTTTCGGAGACCCCGTGACCACGGCTGCTGCAAAGCATCCGAAACATCGGGACGTAGTTAAAAATATATTCAAATAAGTTTAACTAATACATCGCGTTTTAAACCGTTAAAGTGTTTTATTTAAAAGACTTATATGCTAAAAACGAGTGCAATGGGCATGTCACTAGCAAACGATCTCTTCTGGCCATTGAAAATTATTATCTGTCCTCCTTCTAAAGCCTCGTAGCGGGTGATATGTTTTGTCATTCTGGTCGACTTGTTTCTCTGACATGGTTGGTATTACCGGCTCTAACGCAGAGGCTGTACGATGACGAACGTGGGCGTTCATTATGCGAATAGTGTGAATACAGCATCAGTAAAAAAATGGATTTTAAAAAAAAGTTTTAGTTTCGTGTTACGTCAAAAATGTGCCAACCCTACCTATGATGCAAGGCCCGGTTAGCTAATGCGTTAATAAAACGTCTTGTGTTAAATCTAACCTAACATAAGTGTGAGCTTCTTAAATTAAATTTAATTATTAAAAGCTTCCACTTTTTAAAGACAGAAATAAGACTGACCTCGAATTAAAATCTCGGTTGGTTGATTCGTCGTAACGAATAAGCACATCAAAGGAAAATTGTGCAAGGGGAAATTATAAAGATGTTATATTTTTACTGTGGCTTAGTAAATTAACACATATATAGATTTATTCACTTTATTATAATTAGTTAGAGTTTATAAGCTTTATACTTAAAATCGTATGGATCATGTTATTTCGCTTTTAACGCAATTAATGTCAAATTCACAAAAGGTTATAAAAACAAATAATCTTCATATTAACGGCTGTGTATTTCTTGTAACCGTTTCAAATAGCAAACAGCTTGGAAATCCAAATAGCTTTCAAAATGGCCGCAAAAACTTTATACAGTTCTTCTAGAATTTGAACGAAGAATTATAAAATGTTTAAGTAAAGTAATGTCCTCAGTTTTCGCGAGTATTTATGCAACTATGTTTCAATGGTTTAAATGGACTTTAGGGACACCCTACATTTAAATAAAACACTAACGGTTTAAAACGCGATATATTAGTTAAACTTATTTGGAAATGATTTTTTTTGACCTCCCCGTGACAACGGCTGCTGCAAAGCATCCGAAACGTGGGGCCGAAGTTAAAAATAATTTCCAAATAAGTTTAACTAATATATCGCGTTTCAAACCGTTAAATTGTTTTATTTAAATGTGTACTACTCGCGTAAACTATAGACACCCTACATATTCAGCCTTCCCCTGACCACGACTGCTGCATCGTTCACTCATATATTTCGCGTTTTGAACTGTTTAAGTGTTTTAATATACCATATTAATACTCATAGCCACCTATTTACGTATTATGCATACTCAAAACCTTAGACACTTAGGTAAATATATAAGAAAAATTGTTTATTTATTAAAATCTGAGAATTGCTTTATAATTTTCTATAAATAAATACTGAGGTACTCCTAAGTTAACAAAAAGCATATGTACAACTTCTTATCTTCAATATTTTTTTGCCGAATCGAAATAATTTTTTAAATTTAAAGAGAATAAAGTATATTTTATTTTATTTATTGTTCATCATAGAGTTGAACGAGGGGCATAGATCTATTAAACTCCAGTCAAGTATAAGTCTGCAATATCAGTAGTCACGTTTTACGAATCTTGTGAATGCGAGTTCCAGTTTCTTGGCGCCATTTCTGGTTCATTGCTGTCTTTGTTGGCGATGAATGGCGAAGGGGTTTCCAGTTTAAAAGCAATCACCTTAAGTGGCGTATCTGATTAGTTCTGCCAGCTGATTGAAAGAGTAAGACGACTTGGAAAGTTTTCGTTCATTCCTTAAACTTCACTTAACTTGAAATTTAGATAGTTAACTTTGTATGAAGACCACGTGGTTTATATATCAATAATTTCTTCTTCATTGATTCTTGTAGCGGTTTAAAAATATTTATATATCTTTTAGATAAGCTTCGTTTTTAAGCAACTGATACACACATAAAATGAGTTCTTTCGACGGTTTTAACGATATATTAAAATAAACTATTATGTTATATTATTTATATCGTTACAAATTTTGAATGATATACCTTCTAATCCCATCTTATTAAAGGATAACATAATCGTATAATGAATTGCTTTAATTTGAAGACTCGACACTTCTCAGCTTCTCAGAAGTTAAATGAAACGAGGATATGACGTAGCACTTACAGGCTTGACGTTTTAAATGAAATATAATGAGGCGAAAGTGTTTTAGAAACCTATTCATGGTGACTAACAATTAGTTCTTAACACTATTAACAGAATTTTTTCTGATACCTTTGTCCGTTTATCGCTGTTTTTAAACAAAAGCCGAGTCTATCGTCATTTGTCACTAACGTATATACTCTTCGGTATCATATCTTATTGGCAATATCTATTGTAAAATGGCTACAGAGTACACTCTTTAACACTGTTTGTTAAAACGCGCTAATATCACAGGCATAGTAGGTACAAGTCGAATTTAATAGGCTGTAATCAAAATAAATATCGCAATTATTATCCATAATTTTATCTAGTTGTATCGATATTAAAAATTAATTTTACCGACCAAAGAGTATAAATATTATTTATTTATACTTTTCCAGAACTTTATTTGTATTGCTTTTACAAATAAACACATCGAAGCACTTATAAAACATCAGTATTTTTTTCGTTAACTCCACAAACAGTTTACTCCAAACCGCCAAAAAGCTGTGACGTCATTATGCGGTTAATTGTAGGGTTTATTTTTAATAAGGTACCTCTAATATAATACTTCTTATATAATTAATAGTTAATATCCTTCGTTTCACAAATAGTAGCCCATTTATCTAGACTATACAGCATCTAAAGAAATGAAAGAATAAAGTTCAAAATTTCTGTTGCATCTTTTAATGTGGTTTTAACGTTTCTTCCAGTATATCCAGCGTACAAAAAGAACGAGGCAGGTTTCACTGCGTGTCCTTCTCTGGAGACGAGGTACACCGGCGAACCGAACAACCGGGCAGTCTCTCGAAGACCAGCTGATATCGTGAGGACACGGAATCCCGGAGCATGTGAGTAAACTGCGTATTATATTTGACAGCCTCTTGGTTAAATCGTTCCACGTGTCGCCTAGCATTGCGTTAAGCGTAAGAGAAAAAATAGATCGGCGATAGGGCGCAGCAGTCTGATCGACTACTTGCCTGTAAAGAAAACCCATCTGTGCCACGGATACAAAAATGTGTTTGCCACAAGCCCTACGGGCGCTGTTAAACGGGATTTCAATAAGAAGATATTTTCAACCGGGATTCCATATATTTATTTATTTATTGCAACACACACAAACACATGTTTCCTTAAAACACATTCTTAATAATACAAGTTGTAACGATAAATTATTCTTACAAGTTATGGAGTGCAATAAGCGGCCTTATCGCTATAGAGCGATCTCTTCCAGGCAACCCTTGTGTAAAATTAAATAAGATATATCATGGGAACGTATATACCTATTCTTTTTTAAAAGTGTCTTATATTTATTTTATTATTAGAAAACCGTTCATAACTGAATACTTACATGTACTTACATTTACTAAAACTGAATACTTTTCACATATACACATAATACGTTATATTATATGACTGCGCGATAGGTGCATGTATCAAAGGGTTGAAAAATTTAGGCCACGGTAGCTAAATTGATTTTAGCAGCATCATGAAACGCTATGGATGGAGGTTCTATTCCCGCCCGTGTTGTAAAATGATTTGAAACTAAATTCATTTTAATATATCTTAATTGAATAATATTAATAAAAGGTGTGAAGTGAAAGCGCGGACACAGGGGCGAACACATTTCTGTGTCCGTTTCACTGATCAGTCCTTTAACGGGCAAGTAGTTAATTTTTTTGTTTCCCTGGGATTCGAACCCAGTACCTCCCGCGCTTAACGCAATGCTAGGCAATACGTTTAACCATTTGGCTACAGAGGCGGAAAAGGTATATGACAGAATGCAAAATAAAACTCTCTAGGTATTTTTTAATCCGTGCTCATTTAAGCAGAGAGGTCATATTCTGAATCCTGCAGTCGCGAAGGTATCGCGTAAAATTGCAGTTGACCCATATACCGTTTGGATTTCGAGAGATTTATCTGCATTCTGCGGTATATCGAGAGGAAACGCGCTCATTTGTGGGCTATTTCGACTTCCTTTGATATTAATGCATTCGTAGAAGATCTCAATTAAGATGGGAAAATATATTTACGAATATCTAATTATATAAAAACATGGAATAGATATAAAACGTATTTTTAAGTTTGGGTTTCCTCTCGAGTCCTTGTCATAGATTTTTATTTTTTATAACGTGCCTAAATGGTCACTGATGGACTTTGAAATCTATCTTTTTTACAAACTTGTTTGGCCAATAGCATGGCAATGCATGGCTACTAATAGGTCGTGGGTTTGATTACTGCAGAGATAGAACATGTTTATACATTACCTTTAAAATCAAATAAAAAATCATTTATTCATTTGGTAGCTGTTACACGTATAAACGTCAATACAGTTAAAAATTAAAAACTCTAAAACTACATTTACTACTTAGCTTGAGCTTTTATTTAAAAAAAATAGGTCGAAATCGTATTTTAATTACTTAAATTATTTTTGGACGACGTCGGGAGGGTGTCGTAAAAGTGGCAAGTCATTAAAAAAAATGATATACTCGCTGTACATCCCCCATCCCAAATCCATGTGTCCTGCCTAAACATCGATCAAAAGAAACATATTAAGTTAGATAAAGATAAGATATCAACTTAGTTCTTTAGAATGATTATGGCCAATAATACTAATATAAACCCGTCATATTGCAGGTATATCGAACGGCGGGCGTCGAGTAGTAAAGGCGCTGTGCGCCTACACCGCTCGCGCCGAATCCGACATCTCATTTCGGAAGGGCGATCGTATGGAAGTGCTGAGCGACGCGGAGACCGATTGGTGGAGGGTGCTGCACCTCACCACGAGGAGGGAGGGGCTGGTGCCCGCCAACTTCGTGGCTGAGGAGAGCTCTGTTGAGTGCGAAGAGTTAGTACTAAATGTTCGCCTAATTTTAATTTGATACTGTCTGTCGCCAGTAGTACACATTTAAATAAAACACTAACGGTTTAATTGTAATTTGGTTTATTTCGTTGGCTATGTAAACATATAAATAAAACATTTTAACGGTTTAAAACGCGATATATTAGTTAAACTTATTGAAAATCATGACGTGACCACAGCTGCTGCAAAGCATCCGAAACGTCGGGCTGAAGTTAAAAATCATTTTCAATAAGTTTAACTAGTATATCGCGTTTTAAACAGTTAAAGTGTTTTATTTAAATGTGTACTACTCGCGTAAACTATAGGCAGTATTTAACGTAAACATATATGATCCATCTGATCCTATCAACATACAAGGGTAGAACCGAAACTTCATATTTAGCTATTTTGAAAATAATAGAAATGTCTAATGATAGAATTTTTCTAAAACACGTTGAACTTCGTCTGCACATCTAGATATTAAATGAAAACATAGTCCACAGATATACTATCAATTACGTCTGTGGATTTCCAAATATCTAAAGCTAAAATAGGCCAACGGCGCATCGTGTTTAGATGTTATAAGCTGCAGCATTTCAACTACCATCAAGTACACGCTATGCCTGTCCTTCTCTATCATGAAAGAAATTCAAATGAAACATAATACGTGCCAATGTCTAGTAACGGGACAAACACTTATGATGCATTGTTACATTTTCAGCTGGTTCTTCCCCCACGTGTCTCGCAAGGAGGCTGACAAATTACTCTTGGCTGAGAGCAATCCGCGGGGCACGTTCCTTGTTCGACCCGCGGAGCACAACCCCCACGGCTTCAGCCTCAGTGTCAAAGACTGGGAGGAGGGCAGGGGTTACCACGTGAAGCACTACAAGATAAAGCCGTTAGACAATGGCGGATTCTACATAGCCACCAACCAGACCTTCCCGAGTCTGCCAGCGCTCGTTATGTCTTATACGAGTGAGTTATTTGATTCCTATGTTGTGAGCAAGTAGGTAAATATTGAGGCTTAAAGAAGTAATTCAAACCCCCCCCCCCACCTCTCAAAAGTATAAACCTGTACATAATCGTAATTAGCATGTTACAATATAGTTAAGTCTGTATGTAGTTAGTAATCGAGTAGTACAAATTTAAATAAAACACTTAACGGTGCAAAGCGTATTACAAATAAATTTCGCGTTTTAAACCGCTGAAAGTTGTTTATTTAAATAAGTACAGCTTTTCACTGCTTAAATTTATTTTGTGGGTCTACACAGGCGGAGGTTACTAGTAGCCATGTGTATTTATCGCAAAGATTACACCTTAATGCATGTATTTTTAATTTTTTTTTAGTCCTATAGTAAGTACCAATATTATTGTACCCGTTCTTACTAATACTTACGTTAGTTGTACTAGAGTACTTTTGTATAAACATGTTAACTTAGACTTTGGGCATGTACAAGTCTCTTGTATTTTCTATTTTTAAATCTGACTTCGTTTTTCTTTTATATATATATATATTTAAAAATAAGCTTGCATCTAATTATCTTTAAACATGCTTGATTTTATTTATCTAAACTAACAAACAGCCAAATAGAAATAATGATAACTAACGCGTTTCAGAGAACGCGCTAGGCCTCTGCCACGTGCTGGCGCGGCCCTGCCCGAAGCCCGAGCCTCAAATGTGGGACTTGGGCCCGGAGCTAAGAGACAAGTGGGAGATCCCGAGGGCGCAGATCCAGCTCATTAAGAAGCTGGGACAGGGCAACTTTGGTGAAGTTTATTATGGCAAATGGTGTAATAGCATAGAGGTAAGAGTCTTATAGTTTTTCTTTAAAGAAGGGCTTTACTTGATGGATGTTATACGGTTATATGGCTATATTACCCATATAACCGTATAACATCACAACAAGATGCGCTGTCGATCGGTTTTGGCTTTGGATATTAAAAAATCGATAGCTGAATCTGAAACGCGGTTAAACTTCTCTGCTTTCTTATCTGTGGACGACGGTTCGCAACCTGAATGGAATTTCGACATTCCGCCACCCATTCAATATGTAGATTTTCAACAGGATACAGAATAATTATAAATTAAGTAGTCACACATTGGTTATACTAACTAGCCCTTCGTCAAGCTAATTGAATGTATTTACAAAAATTGTCTACGACATGCCTAATAAAAAAATTATAAAACAGAAACGTGTTGTACCCGGTGGGAAACGAACCCACGACCCGTTAATAGCTATACATTACGACTATTAGACCAACGAAACATTAAAAAGCTGGTTACTACCGGTAACCAGCCCTTATTTTTCATTCCAATAACACAGCTCTTACGCACTTGCAGGTCGCCGTGAAAACGTTGCGAGAAGGAACGATGTCGAAGCAGGCGTTCCTCCAAGAAGCCGCTATCATGAAGAAATTCCGTCACAAACGGCTGGTAGCCCTATACGCTGTATGCTCACAGCAGGAACCCGTATACATAGTCCAAGAATACATGTGCAAGGGATCACTACTCGAGTTCCTAAGGAACGGCGAAGGGAAATCCTTGCACTTCGAGGACCTGGTCTACATAGCGGCGCAAGTCGCCTCCGGAATGGAGTACCTGGAATCGAAGCTCCTAATCCACAGAGATCTAGCCGCCCGTAACGTTCTCATTGGAGAGAACAACGTAGCCAAAATATGTGACTTCGGCCTCGCCAGGGTCATAGAAGACAACGAATACTGCCCAAAACAAGGCTCTAGGTTCCCGGTCAAGTGGACCGCCCCAGAAGCTATTATCTACGGAAGGTTCTCCATCAAGAGCGACGTATGGTCGTACGGAATCCTACTAATGGAACTCTTCACGTACGGCCAGATACCATACCCTGGTCTCCACGGCAAGGAAGTGATAGAACAAGTGGAGAGGGGGTACCGAATGCCCAAACCGGTGGGTCACTACCTCCCTGACGATATATATAGACTGATGCTGCAGTGCTGGGACGCGATCCCGGAGAAACGGCCGACCTTCGAGTTCTTGAACCATTATTTCGAATCGTTTACTGTGACCAGTGAGATACCATATAGAGAAGTGCAGGACTAGTGCTGTGATATAGTGTAGTGCGGATAGTGCTTTTACGACTGACTGGTGTGGGTCCTTAGCAAATGGAGTTATAGGTAGGACGATGGTTGAGAGCGAAGTCTTTTGCTTTTTCTATACAATATCCTGGAATAGCAAGCAATAAAGAAAAAATATTCAAACTATTTAAATTTATGACGGCTTAAGTACTAATATAGACAAAGTTCAGTTATGATTGCTTAATTTAACCTTTATTGATCTGTGTTTGTTTTGTTCTGAATGAGATAAATAGGACATTTCCTTATGATAGAGGAAGACTGACAAGTATCAGGTTCATTTTATGGTAGGTGATATACCCCAGCCTATAGCATCTAAACAAGATGCGCTATCGACCTATTTTAGCTTGGCAACCGAAACGCGATTTACAATTATTGTGACTTGTCTCATCAGAATGTTGTTAGATCCCTAATTGTTTTCCCAATCGATAGATGTCGCTAAAATCAATAATTTCTGAAAAATTCTCACTGCAAAGCTTTGCTCTTGTCTACGTCTAAAATACTTATAGCTCCTATTTTAGTATTTTTATACTGAAGTGAACGATACAGGTACGTGAGCTTCATTATTGGTCGGCTTTTTCGTAATCGGCTAAACGCACGCCTCGTGTCCAAATAAGAGTAAATCCAAATGAATCGCTTCACGGCTTGCTTTGATGTCTAGTCACATTGATAATGGGTTTTGTAGAAAAATACAGAGAAATAATGAAAAGAGAAAAAAAAATGCAGGAGATAATTGATCTTCTATTGTTTATTTTGCTTTTCACTTGTTTTATTTATGTGTTTCCATATTACTAAATTAGAGAGGTGATTTTTCCATAGTCAAGAATTAATTGCAAGTTACTTTGCATTTTAATCGTCCAAAGTTTTTATATATTGTTTTGTAAATCAATTATGTACATATAACCTCAACAATAATCTTGGTTATTGGGTAATTTTTTTTTATTGGTTATTATTATAATATGCAACCATATCTTTAATCAGAATAGAGAGAAGATATATAGCTATCGAATCTTGCATATGCCTTAAGAAATTCTAAACGTATATTTAATAAGACTGTCAGTGTGAAAAATCAATTTGTATATAATATTATGTTTTATCATCTGAGCAAGCAGTGAGTCGAACATTTTAAAGCCGGGTACTCACTAGCTCGTTACCTGTTCAATGAACAGAAAAAATTGAAATATTTTTGATGATTCCATAAAATGACGACATATTTTGAATCGCAGTGCTTTGACGTTTACAGTTTGTTAACTTTCGTCAACAAACGTACTTCACAAAATGGCGGCTAAGTGTGCATTTTGTGACAGCGAGCGACTTGATTCCCATCAAATACCTGGTCTTTGACACCTTATTTGATTTCTTTAACTTTTAATGAGATTGCTGAGACGAGAGTAGCTATAGATAGACATTTGACAACTGTCACTATTCGAGCCAAATTTCGTTACTGTATCATTCGAGACACATTTTCGTTACTGTACCATTCGAGCCAGCGCCGGCTAGTGAGTACCCGCCTCTAACATAATTGTGCGAACACTATTTTCTTATTTATTAGCAACCGTAGCTTAAGCACGTAGAGTTATTTTGCATCGTAAGCAATAAGATAAATACTAGATATTTTCATAATGTGACGTTTCACATTGTAAATGATCTGAATCGACGCGTATTATCCACAGATGTTATAAAAAATGTTATTTATGTGGTACTGACATTGAAATGAGATTAATTTATGCAATAAGGGTCTCCGCACACTAGTGACACCTACAAAACGCTATCATATTGTGGCTGTGTGCGGTGGTCGGTAGACTAAACTACTTTACTACTACTTTGCGCTAAATCATTGTAAATCTTATTTGCATACCGTGTACAAAATTGTCCAATAGTCTAAAAATTACTTGCACACGCCAAAATAAACCTGGTCCAATTTTAAGGAGCAACGCAAATAGCTTTAGGACCATATACCAAAGAATTATTGTACATTCTAGTGCGAACGAAACGTATTTAATTTTTAGTGTAATTAGACTTTGTGACCTGTGTAACATTAATTGACCAATAACCTTCGACATATAAAATTGTATAGACATGTTAAATTTCTTACTGAATCACAAAAAGTTATGCGCGAGGGCGAATCCGGGGGTCTGCGTATGCGCCACCTCCAACTTAACAAAACCTCTCCCCGCCCTCCCTCCTCCTTCTACCAATTCGCCCTCGTGTTAGCGTAACAGTGTTAATGCTTTACCACTTCTAGTTACGAGATCAATAAATAGTGTCTCAACATTCCAATTCGAAACACTTTAAATTTGGACACTTTTGTATGAGAATTACATTTATAAGATTTTGTACATACAATGAATAAATGTCATTGATTATAAACAATTTATTTATAACCTATTATTCTAAAACTACAATCACATTTGCATACATAGAGTATGACAATATAAAACTTAGTAAAAGAACAATTCTTGATAATTTCAATGAGTACTATGTTGTCTTTATAGATACATTTTCACTGAAAAAGAGGAATGACTTCACAAAAAAATTATAACCTTATTACAATAAATACATTTTTAATAAAAAAAAAACACCTATTATACTAGTAATTACTAATTTCATTTTTCAATCTCTAATCTTCTTACACTATGTTTATTAATAAGTTTTTTCAGTTAAAATTACACATACTCTGTGTAAACCCTACTTCGTATCTTAAGATACCTATACTCCGAATCATAGATTGATTGTACGTAACGCCAAAACACAATAAGGGCTCTAGGAACATAATTTGGATGTTTCTTACTGTAATGGTTCAAATATATCGCTAATACCACCAGCATACCAGACCAGACATACCTGAAAAAAAAAACATTTTTAGCCATTATTTAAATATATATTTTTTCAGCCTATAGCATCTAAACAAAATGCGCTATCGACCTCTTTTGGCTTTGGATGTTCAAAAATCAGCAGACTGAAACCGACATGTGATTGAACTCCACGGCTTTTTATCAGTGGATGGTGGTTCGTGACCCGGACGGAATTTTAATATTACACCAACTCACATTCAATATCACGCCTATTCACATTTCACACCAGCAAGCTTGCAAATCTTCAATTACACAATCGGTTCAATGATACTTACTGGAAAACAAAAGGCTTGCTAAACAGCAAGAAAGATATAACAATAGATAAAGCCTTCCTCATGGTGGTAACGGTCACAGCTACGGTAGCACCACAGATTCTGACTAGGGTCAAAACAGCTTGCAGCCCCATGTACCCGCATAGGCTTAGTAAGAATATATTGCTGTAGATTGTCATTGGTTCCTGAAAAGATATAATTACTATTGTGTAATATGGACCGCCTCTGTAGCTAATCCCAGTAAAACGACAGGTTGTTTCAGTCGAGCAAATCGGCTAGTGAAACGGACACAGAAGAGTTTTCGTCCTATGCACCGGGCAGGGTTGGACAAACGAGATTTAACTTTTATAGTGTAACATGACAAACTGTTAGTTTACTTGAGTGCAAACATAAGGTCCTGGGTTCGAATCCTAGATCAGGGCAAATATTGGTTCTAAATGAAATTCTATGAAAACTTTAGCACATTGGAACAGCGTGATAGATCCACAACCCTATGACATAAAACTTAAGGTTCAATATCACTTTCTCAATGTTTATGCATTAATGAAACAGTCGAGAGCAATTAATAAACTTACAATAGAACAATAAATAAATCCATTCTTCAAAATTCCACTGACTCCAGTTATTACCAATAAGTAGATGCTGGCTATCGCATATGAATAGAAGACCACCTCGTTATTTGTAGCTTGAAATTGCTTCATCGCTTTCTCTTGGACATTACCAATGATGGCATCACAAAGCAACGCAAGAGAGATTACTATCACTCCAACAAAGTCAAAGTTTGGTGACGTTTTCGAATCAGCTGCAAAAATAAATTTAAGTGAATTGTTATGTAAATTTCTATTGTGACATGTTGATATCCATATCTACTGGCAGGTTTTGTTCACCGATATTAAATACCATCTATAAAAATGTATTCACGTGACGTATTTAACGTATGTATTTGCAACTCACATTTACATAATTAGTACAATAATAAGTTTCTCAAGAACACCTTAACTTAAAATGCAAACAAATCAAAATACTAATTTAAAATCTTGTTATTGTTAAACTAGTTTATGTTAAACAGTTATTTAATTACATATTAATTATTTGAAATTAGTTTATTTTTGTGTTTAAATTATTGTCACAAAAATACTTACTACTTTACACTACTTTTATTGTGTTGAATAGAGACAGAGGCCTAAAGGTAAAACATTGTGCCTTATAAAATTATCTAAGATTGAGTGAGGGACATAGAAGAGATCATATAGAAGGAGTGACAAACCAATAAATATATAGATTATTGCTAAATGATACTTTCTAAGTAAAAAAATAAGAGGTTAGTTAGATTGTTTTTACTCTTTTCTAAGGTCTCTAGATATTGTACTTTGGGAACTACTCCTTACCCAGTGTGAACATAGTCAATCCGACACACATAACTATAGCAGCAACATAATCCAGAAAGCCATATCTCTTTCCTAAGATAATAATACTTCCAATCATAACTGGTATAAGCTTACAACTCTTGAAAATCAACTGGGTGGGGTAATTCAGGTAACTTAAAGCCAGATTCGATAAGGACATAGTACCTAGTGTCAAAGCTGCTAATATTGCGTAAGTTCTTAGGGGTACCCTGGAAATGAAGAAGTTTGCTATTTACATTCAGATCATATACATACATAAGTTTTCAACCATATCATCTTTCAAAGTAGCAAAGACTTCAATTAAATTTAATAATATACTACTTTACAAGTCTAATAGTTTTAAGAAAATCTGACTTTAAAAAAGGCATCTCCAGTGCAAAGGATTGATAGAATTGAATAAATTCAGTATGCCACTACAAAATAACAAACTATTCATTATTAAAATGCTGTGCCAACCTGTCTTTTAAACAGTGAATGCCAGACTATAAAGATTCTATAGTTTTTATAAGGTACACATAAATTAAACTTACTTTCTTTTAATAGGATTCCGAATAGCAGACTCCACATGACTTAAGGACATAGTTATGAGAAACTGGATAAACGTAATATAAAGGCTTACTGGTGCCACGTCAGGATCTGAGAATATCAACTCTAAGAAGTATCCATAGGCGAGATAAAATATAAATACAAAAAAACAACAAAGAGTAAATTGTACAGCAAGGCTGTACTTTGTTATATCCAAGCAGAGTATATTGACGGTTGCGGCTTGGCTCTCTCTTCCATTTCCATTCTTTGTGCCGTTTATCGAAATAACCGTTTCCTTCGAAGTCATTTTCTTTGGTGTATAAATACTTTTCAAAATAAAATTAAACGTGCGCTAAATTTACATTGTAATTAAAGTTTATGATAACTTGTATGTAGTCACTGGTAATCAGAAGGATTCGATTCGAATAAGTAGTTACAGTACTATTTAATCATCATAAAATATTTGTGTACTCTTTTATCGTCATATTAAAAACGAAAAATTGATTGCTGACGCGTTGACTTAACGATTGTTGATAAACGTCGCTGAAGACAATTGTCATCAGACTGTTATCAGCTGTTTACAAAGTGCCAAAACTATTTAGTGAAATCGGTAACCGATATTCAATTACAAAGATAAAAATTTTGTGAGACAAGTTTCTCTTGAATTCTTTGTATTGTATATTTTGAACAAGCTTTTAAATTCCGTTACAATAATTTAACTAAACGAAGCAAGTTTTGTTAAAACAGTGTTCGAATAATATTCAAGTGTCATTACTAGCTTTGGCACATCCCTAAACATCAATTTAAAATCAATTTACGATTCCCGTCACACATCACTAATTCCTCACAAACAAATAGGCAAATTCGTCATTTTTATCACACAATTTTGTGTTACGTGCTGTTTATCATAGGTGTTATTGTGTTTTTTTGTGTGTGACATCTTGGTTCCGTCTTGTAATATCCGAGTGTAAATTGCAAAAACAGAATACATGACTTTGCTAATCGTGTAATCTGGACCTGACAATCTGGATTGCGAACAATGATGGACTCGGACTTGTCCGGTGCGGACTTTTGTCGCTTCTGTAGATCGGAGGCCTCATCCGACCGGCCTTTGTTCCATCCGTGCATCTGCACAGGCTCCATCAAATGGATCCACCAGGAGTGTCTCGTACAATGGATGCGATATTCACGAAAGGAGATATGCGAACTTTGCGGTCACCGCTTCTCGTTTATGCCTATATATTCTCCGGATATGCCGCGGAGGCTACCCATCCGTGATGTTGTTGGTGGTTTAGTGACCTCTGTGGCATCAGCGGTAAAAGATTGGCTTCACTATACACTCGTCGCGCTTGCATGGTTGGGCATAGTACCTCTCACTGCGTGCAGAACTTATCGATGTCTCTTCTCGGGGTCCTTAGATCCTGTTATTTCACTTCCATTCGACATTGTATCAGCGGAAAACTTAGCAAAAGATGTTTTTTCTGGTTGCTTTGTTGTCACATGTACTCTGTTTTCCTTTATTGGAGTGGTGTGGCTACGAGACCAGATTATGCATGGTGGTGGTCCTGACTGGATGGAGAGGGAGAATTTACCTGCTCCACCAGCAGAGGAGCCACTTCAAGATAACAACAATGAAAATCTAAATGAGGGAGTTGAGGACGTAGGGGCTAGAGAAGAACCAAATGGAGATGTGGCTGAAGATTTGCTTGTTGCTGATGAAGCAAATTGGAATCCCATGGAATGGGACCGTGCTGCAGCTGAAGAGTTAACATGGGCAAGATTATTGGGTTTGGATGGATCTATGGTGTTTTTGGAACATGTTTTCTGGGTTGTATCATTAAACACACTTTTTATAGTCGGTTTTGCCTTCTGTCCATACCAAATTGGACAACTGGGAGCAACAATAGCTGGTTTTACAGCAGAGGGGCCGTTTGCAGGGCCACTTAAAGCATTATCAGGATATGTGATTGTTGCAGCCACTTTGGCTATATTACATGCCATGGCTTCATTGGTGCGGTTGAGAGGCGCTAAGAAGGCACTTGGCTTCTGCTATGTGGTAGTAAAAGTGGCGCTCTTGTCTGTTGTGGAAGTGAGTATAAATTATTTATAATCTGTAGTTTATGCCAGTAGAACATATTTAAACTTTAAACCATTTAAACATGTTTTATTTAAATGACTAATTTACTAGATAGTTATTGAACCGTTAATGAGGTTTACAACTTTCACTGTAACCTCTTTGCATTTTTATTTTATTCAAATCTTGTTAATTTGTTATTAAATTTCTATTAATGATTTATAATTTTTAGCAATACAGTAATATAATGTGGCCTCTAGAGGCAGAGTAGCCTAACTGCAATATGCCTTGTGTTATTTAAATGAAACTCTATTATTATATATATGATAAGATGCCTTGAATAAAGTCATGAAAAAATATTTACAGTAACATAGTACTTCCCGTGACCACGGCTGCAGCAAAGCATCCACAATGTCGGGCCGAAGTTAAAAACCATTTTCAAATAAGTTTAACTAATATGTCGCGTTATAAACAGATAAAGTGTTTTATTTAAATGTGTAACATAGTCCTTGTCTATGTCTTAGATCACAATATCATTCCAAGCTTATCTATTAACACACATTAGGTTTTATTGACTTGAAACTCACAATAGAAATATTTTTTTATCTAGGTTCTATTTATTTTTTTCTACTTATTCCTATGACTTGAAAATTTAAGGTCGTTTCTATTATTTTAACAAGCACATTAAGGTTTGAAATCCCTTATATATATATAGTTTTGGTAAGGCAGACCATAAGTTCAACTAATTGTCTTTAAACTAAATTGATAAGTAGTTCAGAAATATACATATTTGTTTTTATTTTTCATTTTCAGATTGGTGTCATTCCACTAGTCTGTGGTTGGTGGCTAGACCTATGTTCCTTATCTATGTTTGATGCAACGCTAAAAGACAGGGAAGCAAGCCTCCACGCCGCACCATGGACACTTATGTTCATACACTGGCTAGTCGGAATGGTCTATGTGTATTATTTTGCCTCATTCATATTACTCTTACGAGAAGTATTGCGACCAGGTGTGCTTTGGTTTTTGAAGAATCTTAACGATCCAGATTTTAGTCCTGTTCAGGTAAGAAAAGCAAGTTAATAGCCTAAGCTGTATTTTTTATGATAGAGGACAACCAAGCTAAGGTTTACTTATAATAGTAGTATTTAATGGTAGATATAACACGCCAGCCATAAACAAGAGGTGCTTTCGAGGTTTGGATATTCGGAAATCCAATTCTAAAACCGAAACGCAAATAATATTAACGCCTCTTTCAACTGTAGACGGTGGTTCATGATTTGGACGGAATTTTGATATTTCTTCCACGCATTTAATATCCAGATTTACGGAGGAAGCGCAACAAGTTTCAGATAAATTATAAATTGATTAGAAATATGTTAGACCTTTTTTCCTAATTTTTTGTACTTTTATGTTATACATTTAAGGCTTATAAGAAGCCAGTATGATATATTTTCTTCTAAGACTTTACCCATAGAGATGTTTTGTAATTTTCTAGGAAATGATTCATCTACCAGTTTGGTCTCACATTCGTCGTCTGATAGTATCAGCTATGGTGTTTGGAACTGCCGTTCTGTTTATGCTGTGGTTGCCAATCCGAGTGATCAAATATCTCTTGCCTGGGTTCTTACCTTACGCTGTGGCTGTGCACACTGAAGCTCCTGTCAACGAACTAAGTTTGGAGTTGCTGTTGTTGCAGGTGAGACTATAATACACTAATTTGAGTATTTATACCATTTCTCTTACATGAGGCAGACACATTTTTGAGCCAATTCCATTCGTTGATCTTATTTGCGCAGAAATAATTCATTAGACTGTGCTCTGCCCAATCAAAACCACATAGTTTTCTGGAATGTATTAGCCACAGGGCAGTAGTTAGTTAATAAGCCCGAGAAACAGCCTAAATTGTAACCACACCGAGAATAGGTCAACACTATAGAGAGCATTTATATTAAATGAACGAATAGTATCAAGTGTAGTGAATTTCTACACATTAATTTTTCTTGAACATGTTGGACTTCGAAAAATTATAAATTGTTAGAAAAATCTTAGACCTATTGGGGATCGAACCCAGAGCCATTTTTGTGCAAAAAGTATTTCGAAACTTAATCTGCAGAAGTATAGTATTTTTGTATTTATCAGCTATGTATGCATTACAGGTGGTATTAAAGTTCTGTATTCCAGGTCATCCTTCCAGCGCTATTAGAACAGTCTCATACTCGCACGTGGCTCAAAGCAGGTCTTAGAGCGTGGTGCGCTTGCGCAGCGGGCATTTTAGGCTTGCGCTCCTATCTGCTAGGACAGTCGAGCAGGCAAGCAGATCAAAACCCGCCTCCACATCCACCGCACCAACTTGGAGCTGCTCATCAGGTATTAGATATGCCTAAGAAACCCAAGATTAGAATGTCTTTCGATTACAATAAATATAATAGTGCCAAAGAATAAAAGCAAATTATATTAAATTAAACGTTAATTACATATAATTTATAGATAATTAATAAAATTAAGATAATATGTAGTCTTTTAATAATGTTATATCACATTTAAAAAAAGGTTCGTCAGTAACAGTATATAATTCATTTAACTTGTAAATAAAGTACTAAAAAAGTAACTGATAATCTTCTTAAATACTGTCTGTAATTTACGCGATTACACATTTAAATAACGGTTCTAAACGCGAAATATACTAGGGAAACTTATTTACAAATGATTTTAACAACTGAAATGCATCCTTGCCCTGTATATTTCGCGTTTGAAACCGTTAAAGTGTTTTATTTAGATGATTTTGTTGCTTAGGCGCTGATGTGGCGTGAAGGACCGGCTGGTTTTGAGCCCTACGTCCGTGTCTCGTGGTTTCCGTTGCGTCTGGCTGCGTTGCTGGCTCTCATCTCCATTTCACTGGTTATGGCCAGCGCGTTGACACTTGTAAGTAAACACGAAAAACACTTGTTGTCAGTAGAGTTCTTTTTCCTTTAAAACCAATGTGGGGTTTGCCTGACTGAATTTTATTTAAAGTTTTCTGATCAGATGAGACTTTGGTGACTTGATTAACCAAATAATGTTATCCCGGTAATGAATCCAAGGCCTCTGCTTAAACACAATTCTAGGTGTTTTACCGTTGGGCCTCAAAAGCCGGTAAATGTTAAGTAAATGTACCATTTCGATTAAAATACGACGTTTTGTATTTGCTGCTAATAGTAGCCATAAAACTGGAAACCCCCTCCTTTTTTTCTCATAATTGGTGTGAAACTAAGGGGTTTTCTGGAAATTTGAAAATTTTTCACTAAAATAATATTTACATATCTCAATGCTTTTTTAGGTAATACCAGTGGCTATTGGCAGAAAAGTCATGGCGATGTGGCTTCCGAAAGCCTCGGAAGGTGTGCACGAGTTATACACAGCCGCTTGTGGTGAGTCTTTTGAATCAATGTCCAACTTAGAAATATTTTCTTTCAGTATTCTTTAGTCAATATAAATATTATATTGTTCCTTACTAACTTAATAAGTCTTTTTCTATTTCTTTCCTCCTGTACTTAAGGTTGTCTGGAAGAGATTGCTTCTTAGCGATAAGGCTAGCTTAATAATTTTATGTATTAGTTAGAGTTTAAGATTTTTATATCTCTCTCTGTAGTATGTGTTAAAAAAATAAAGCTATCATAAATATTTATTCATCGTGTATTTATATACAGGAATGTACGTATGCTGGGCAGTAGGAAGAGGCGGAGCCCTAGCAGCCGGTTGGGCGCGAGGAGGTCGCGCTGCGTTGGTTAATAGAGCGGCATTATGGGCGAGCAGGGCTGCTCGAGCTGCTCTCGCTGCATTAGCATTGCTTGGCTTAGTGCCGCTGATGTTCGGTTTATTATTAGAACTGGTATGTATCTTCAAGATCTAATTGACACTACTTAAGTCTACAACCTCTGCGAGGTAAATACGGACTTTTTATAATTTAAGATACAATACAATTTTAACGCGTATGCAATGGTCGGAAAAAGTTTTTGTAATCTAAACAAGTTCCTTGGTGGATAGATCTGCTGAAATTCAAAACGACAGATAAAAGAACAAAAATAATGTAGGACCCGTTTAAAAATCCAACACAAACTTATTATTTACTTAAAACTACATTATTATTAATAAAAGAGACTGACAGTTACGCACACATATTGTGTATATAAATTGAAATGAAAAAACACAGCGTAATGTTGAACGTTGCATGCGGGTAGAATTATAAAAATAATGTTGATTTATATAGTTGTCCGAAGCAAGTGATTTAGTATCTAATTCAGAAATAAATGTCTTTATACCTTAAAGAGAAACCAATGCTATCAATAGTTGGCATTACTATGAGCTCATTTTTATTTTCCAGGTTTTAGTTATACCCTTACGGGTTCCTCTGGAACAGTCCCCAGTGCTTTTCGTGTGGCAAGACTGGGCGTTAGGCGTACTATACACGAAGATCGTGTGCGCTCTCACTATGATGGGCCCCGACTGGAGCATGCGACGAGCCATAGAGAAAGCCTATAGGGATGGAATCAGAGAAATGGATCTTAAGTAAGTCTTCCTTATATTTCATCCTGATCAGACCTTAAATAGGTCCCACTGCTGAGTCTCTAACTTCTATGAGGAAATCTAAATCTTTAAATAAAACACTTTCACGGTTTAAAGCGCGATATATATCAGTTAAACTTATTTGGGAGATTATTTTAACTACGGCTTGAGGTTTTGGATGCTGCAGCTGCAGTGGTCGCCGACCGTGTTTTTAAACCGTTAAAGTGTTTTATTTAAACTACTAAATTGTGCACTACTCGTGTAAACTACAGACAGTATTTACTATGTATATCTATGTAAAACACTTGTGTCCAAATTGTTTTGGTCCTTCGATCCGAATGTAACGCTATTGACATTTTCAGATTCATTCTCCGCTCAGTAGCTGCGCCGTTAGTACGGTGGCTTGGACTAGCTCTAGCAGTTCCGTATGCGTTTGCGCATAGCGTAGCTCCGCTTGTGGTGGCTTCTGCAGCGCAGCGCAATCTACTCGCTCGACGCGTCTACCCGGCGTTGCTCATAATATCCGTTTTGGCGGCGCTAGCTGTCTTCCAGGTACAAATAAAATTATAAACATAGGGGGTTTACAACATAACAAATATGTTATGCCAAAAAAAAACATTGAGATTTACCTAGATAATAAGCAACGGGTCGTGGTTTTGAGAAGTTTGTCATTTTTTAAACAAATAGCTTCTATGTACGTACATGTTAGTGTTACTCAAGACTTTGTCTGCGTACCGTATTTTAAATGATAGACGTATATTGCTGCAGACTTTTTTTTAGGTCATTAAAAGAGGAATCACTCTTTTTTACATAATTTGCGTATCTCCAACCGTTTCCACGGCGCAACGGAAGCGCATTCAAAAAAACTTTTCAGCTACATAAATGCTTTATTTCAGATCCGGCAATTCCGCAAACTGTACGAGCACATAAAGAACGACAAGTACCTGGTGGGGCAACGTCTCGTGAACTACGATCATCGGCGGCACAAACAGAGCGTCGCCTCCAACTGAACACTAAGCCTAAGAGCTGCTTAACTTTCGTCTTGCTTTCTAAATCAAACTGTTTTTTAAAGAAAATTGAGGCAAACTAAAGCTATTTACGAATCTGTTATTACAAGCAAATCACAACGCTCCGTTTACATAAACGTGTATAACTTTTAATAATCTTTAAATAAGGCGTTTTTTTTTTAATAAGATGGAAAAAGTTATCTACGGTGGGCCCAATCGCTGATCTACTAGATCGGAACAAAAAAAAACACCAACCAGATATTTCATATAGATAACATATTTTCAGTGTTAGAAAATTATTTTAATAATGCCGATACACAAAATAAGTTTAAATTTGAAATTACTACTTTTCTACTAATAACAATATAAAGGAATCCTAATGATTGTCCGTACTTTACGTGAAATGTAGACATTTAATAAAATACAATATGTAAAATAGTTCTAAGTTTTAAAATCCTTTAGTGAGTAAAGTTCTTGAAAAACCATCCGGATAAAATTAACTAACGTCTATCGGGTTTTAAATTGTTAAAAATAAGCGAATAAAAGTTAAGCAGCTCTTAGCATCACGCTCAGACCATCTCGTTTGCACTTGTGATATTTTTTATTTGTAAGACAAGGACGGGCGTATACCCGATATCGATTTTGAATTGTTGTAGTACTGCGAGGATTTAATGATATAAATATTATTTATGTGGAATGTAATTAAATAAAATGTCGCGAAATTGTATTTTTATTTGAATTACATTTTTATTATTATTACATCTCTTACCGATATGTTAAATAATGTTTCGGTTCAAAATGTGTTTTTATCACATTACCATTATTGATCGATAACATAAAAATACCTACTATGTTAAAAAAAAAGATTTAAATTCTGTGGTTAGAATTAAATTTATGTTATGAACGCTCATTTAGTCAATAATCACTAAATCATTAAAGGCTTTGGGTAGGTAATTGTTTATGAATTTATTTACTCATTCCTTCCAATAGGAAGGAATGAGTACTACAAATATGTAGCAACTTATAATTGAAATATACTTTTAAATAATACTTGGCTGTCGTTTTCTTTATCTAAAATTCTCCTTGGGATACAACCGACAGCAAAAAATCCGCTTTTTTAAGTGGCTTGGCCTAAACATATTTTCAAACAATCATTCGGAAATCGAACTCGATATCCCATGCTTAACACCTCGCTTATTAGTATTATTGTTTGACAAAAATGTTTTCTATATTTTAAGTTTAATATTTTCTCATCATATTATTATATATCTTTTCTTTTCTACGCATTTCATAGAATTTAAATACTTAGCGTGTAGAACTTACGTAGTTACTTACATTTAATTGGTATTTCTAAATGCACCTGAAGACTAGCCCACGACACAGGGAATCTTAGTGTGGAGGATAGTACACCCTATAACGAAATGTACTATATTCTTGGTAAATAAATAAATTTGTATTTGTTTTTACAAGGCACCCAATTATTATATAGCATTAAATAAATGTAAAAAAATGTTCACAACTCGGGTGCGTTTTGAATAGATTATAGTTACTGGACACAGTTTGTAGTTTACGCGAATAGTACACATCTAAATATAACATTTTAACGGTTTTAAACGCGATATATATTAGTTAAACTTAATTGATTTAAAACTACAGCCCGACATTTCGGATTCAGCAGTCATTGGTTACGGGGGGACAAATAAGTTTAATAAAAATATACTGCATTTTGATCCGTTAAAGTGCTTTATTTAAATAATTACTGGATATTAACGCAACGCTATAACGCTATTAATCCATTGAACATCTGTGACGTCATACTAATACATATTCCCTGGAATCCGTATACATCAAGAACGCGTCGGGCGTCTAATCAAGTGCTGGTCTGATGTATGGCATATTGCTTCTTGTAGGGCGAACACCGTCTGAATTCATATAGGCTAAACAACGTCGTCACTTTTACGTCCCGATCAAACAAGTCACGTACGTTATAAATTCGAGGCGGCGCTCGTTTGTTTTCTAATAAAAACCATTTATAAAAGTCCTATTTTATTTTATTATAGAGGAGAACATACAAGCATAGGGACGCTTTATGGTGAAATAGACATAGAACAAGATTAGCTGTCGATCTATTTTTTTTGCTTTGAAAATTCGGAAATCGAAAACGAAATACGATTAAACTTAACGGTTCTAATTAATTAAAAATATTCTTAACTCTATGGGAACCGAGTCAGCGCACAGTTTATTATTAGCCATATAATTAGACATTAAAAATTCTCTTCATCTTTAATCTTTGCATGACTGCTGCAAAGCATCCGAAACATCAGACCTAATCATTTGTAAATACATTTATTTATTAAAAACCAATCACACACCCGTACAGAATGACAATTTCAACATGTTAGTGAGTCACAATTAATCATTTGAATAAAATTAAAATTAATAGTTATCATATTACATATAACACTACTGCATATACGTTATAGTCTTTATGAATTCGCTCACAGTACAATTAAAAATGTCTATTTTACAATTTACACTGTTAAGAATGTGAAGTGCTCGCATATTTGGGGAATAATACATTAAGTTTGTTCTCGCGGGACTGATGGCGAACAGTGATCTATTACATCGTCGTACGTAGGAATCTGGGACGTAGAAGCTGATGGACCAAGGGTTCATTCATATGTGATGGATATCAGCACCTTGAACACATACGTAGCCAACGCTCGGTGCCTCCGAGCTTCGAGCTTAGCGTATCCAAGCATTACGGGTTTTAACCGTTTAAAGTGTTTTATTTAAATTTTATTGTTGCACTAAGTTTGAATTTCCGAGCTTGCAATCAGACTATCATGGTCTAGATTCTATTCCAAAATGATTCTCAGCTTAAATACATTAAAATATAAAATAGTTGTACGAGTGCTGTCTAACAGACAAACATAAGGGTTTTTCTAAAAAAACAGGGTTGTAGCGTAGGTAACCATGCTGACCCAAGCCCTTTGGGCATCTCTCTTGTTCAGTTTGATTATTCTTTTTATTATTTTAGTGTAATTACATTTCTTCGTTTCTAGCATTGTACTAAATGAATGCCAAATAAAGAGATTTATTATTAAAATAATTCCGTACTCAACAATTCTTTAAGAACAATATGAAAAATAATTTATTTCGTAATTAAAGCTGTCTACGCATTAAAATTATTCTCACAACCAAACGAACAATAACAGCATCAATTTATTGTATCGTAGATTCGGGGGTTGATCAAAATTGTTATCTGGGCCCGCCGACACGCGAATTGGACGCGATAAAAACGCGCTCAAACGGAATTTACCATTATTACTGGACACAATTATTCTGCCTTATCGGAGTTGGACAGGATTTTAAAACAAAAATACATTAAAACGAAAAATACGTCACGTTAAACTTATTCGAAATTATTATAATTATGGCTCGACGCAGAAGCCGTGGTCACGGTTGAACTAACATACTTCGCGATTAAACCGTTAAAGTGTTAATTTTAAATCGCGTAAACTACAGACAGTGATTAAAATAAATAAAAAATAGAGTTCTCTCACAAAATAATACCACGAAGACTAAGTATGATGAGCGTTTTAAAGGTAGCAATGCATGGCTCATAACTAATGGACCGTAGGATCGATTCCCACCGGATATGAAATGTTTGTAAATTATTTTATAACTATGTAAAAAGGTGTTTTTAAGGTTGTTCTTGTTTTATCTATATCTACAATACGAATGATAGCATACTACTACTTACTAGATTGGCGTAGTAACGCGTTATGTAACCACTTGTTTACAACGCGATATATTAGTTAAACTTATTTGAAAATGATTTTTAACTTCGTTTCGGATGCTTTGCAGCAGCCGTGATCACGGGGAGACTAAAGATGGAGGATGTATCTGAAGTAAAAGTAAACCGTACTACGTTTCACGTTAAAAGAAATCTCCTTATAACAAAACCGCACAAGGTAGTCTATATATGTATTTATTACAAACCTTGGTCTTTCAGTGGGAACGTCATCGTGGAGAATCCTTTGGAAACGTTTTAATTTATTTTTACACAAGAATACATAATTTAAATGTTGAAAATTAAAAGATATAACTGACTGAGTTTCGGAGCTGCATCGATATATCCCTGAAATAACTTATTAAAAAGTAACCAAGTAGCTAAATACTGTCTATAGTTTACGCGAGTAGTACAAATTATTTTAATCTATGTCTGTCGCCGCGTGACCACGGCTGCTGCAAAGCATCTGAAACGTCGGGCCGTAGTTTAAAATAGTTTTCGAACAAGTTTAACTAAAATATATCGCTTTTTATACCGTTAAACTGTTTAATTTAAATGCGTACTACTCGCGTAAACTACAGAGACTATTTATATTGTGTAAGGCTTTCACGGCCATCGTTCAGCATATCATTGTTTTTCGAGCTATTCGGCTCGCTCACGTCAGCCGAACAGTATTTATATTGTTTTCTGTTGATCTACAGTACATTATAAATTCTGCTTTGAAATTAAATATGTACCCAACGCTGCCTAGATCGTAAAACAATATACACAATAAATCATCATATATACTTCTTTTAGTAAAGCAAAATGCACTCCATCACAATGTACTAAAGTCTATTTTAGTAAACCTCGCCGTTCTTGGTCACTGGCAATTTGTCTTCGTAGTGATTAGAAAAAACCTAGCCGTCGTAATATTGACGCTGGAAAGCAATTAGCCAACTCATTTTGTGTAATTACCTTTTCTTTACTAACAGTTAGTTGATCGAGGAACAAAATCTATAACAATATATAAAGCTGAAGAGTTTGTTTGTTTGAACGCGCTAATTTCAGGAACTACGGGTTAGAAGTGAAGAATTATTTTTTGTGTTGATTAGAGCATTTATCAAGGAAGGCAATAAATAATCTTTTAAGATTAACTTGCAAGAACGACGGGACGCGACCGACTTCGTGGGTAACGGCTTAAATTTAATTAATTACTCTACGCGGA